AAAAATGACATATAAATTACATCGCAATTTTAATTATAACATTACTAACGCAAGAAGCTGTGCATTTTGATGTTTAATGTTTTCAAAGACGGCCAACTGTCCTCGTGACGTGCAAGCACGTCATTACCACTGCCCTTTATTCACTCAATAATTTTTTTTAAGTTGAAAAATGCGCCGGAAGTATGCTCGGATATGCGAGCGAGAAAGCAGGAAGTGGCCAAAATGCGAAAATCAAACTAATTTCACATGAGCAAGACTAGAAAAGGGCATATGTGCAGGACAGTCATTTTTTCCACCTTTCTCCCTCCCTCCTTCCATCCCTTATCCGTTCTCCACTCTCAGCACAGCTCAAGTTTTTTTTAAACAATTTATCCAGTAAAAAAAAAAAAAAAACTGATGAATTTGTACTTCATGATTTATCATTCATGAAGGTAGTTTCTATCGATAATAATAGTAATTCGAAAGAGTGGGAAATGAGTGAGTCGGGGGATTAGGTGTGTATTTCAGCTAAACCAAATGAATACACTCATTTAATGAGGATATGATGAATCTTTCATTCTCTTTTTCTTCATAAATTTACTATTTCTTATACTTCTATTAACTAATTACGAGGCGTGGATTGGTGACAAATTTCTCGCCCGCATGCTGAAGACCGAGGGTTGAAATCCCAACAATAGGATTATTAGTCTTTCCACTATTCGTTTATTAATTTCTATGGTAAATTGATATTGGCATATGCCAGGAAGACAAAACCATCATTAGCTAACTTTGAAGAGGGAACCATCGACATCCCTGTTAAAGATTGGTTGTTGTTGGAACTTGCCATCCATGCAGGATGCGCCCAAGAACTTACATTTATCGTGGATCATAAAAGGGTTTTTTTCCTATTTGAGCTAGTAGACATAGCAAACTGTTAGCTTTGCTGACGTCAAAAATCACTGGGCAGCATTTCCGGATAGACAAAGGATCAAAGTATTTCAAAAAAAAACCAGCTATTTTCCAATGTGATCTTCCACAAAAACACTAACATTGTCTTCAGCCCCATCCAAGCGCCCTCAAATTACCTCACTCCTTCTAAAAGAATAAAGCAGAATTGAAATGCATATTTCCGATCATTCGAAAACACCTTGAAATTTTATTTGCAATTCAGCGAAGCCTTGAACTGGGATACTAAAAATCCAATAAATAGTGCTAAGTTTTATACTCTGATCAACTGCCATTTATAGTTTGATTCTCAAGTTTATGCATTTAGAAAAACTTTTCCAGTTGCTATGACCCGCGCTGCAAATGCCTGTTGATCAGCCTGCCGAAGATCTTGAAAGACCGGACAATCCTGACAAAATCATTTCGCATATTACTGGTTCCTTGAAAAACATGCAAAAATTTTACTTGTAGTTCAAAAGAGTTTTATGACTAAGAGTTCTTAAAATTTAATATATAATATTATTGAAAAAGGGCGAGGAAAAAAGAAGCACTGCTAGAGAAGGAAAGAAAAATTAATGTGTGGCGAGCGCTTTTCAGCACAAATCCACCTCCTCCCCCTCAACAGCAATTTGTGTACATTCATCACCCATTTCGTCCTTTAAAGCTTCCTTCTTTGACAGCTAAAAAATGCAGAAAATATTAAAAATAATGTCACACACTGTGATAAGGGAAATTAAACTAGGAGGAGACCGGAGGCGGGGAGGGAGAAGTGAATTTTCAATTAAGGATATGAATAACAGCTTTTTTTAATCGTCAAATCTCATCCTGTTTACACTTATTTGCTACTGTTTATGAGTTGCGAAATAAGATGAAATTAGTTTATAAATTAACTGGTGAAATCAGTTATATATACATCTAAAATACAAAGACTAGTTTAAAAATACCAAGAATACGAAGAATCTTCTGCACTTTCTTTCAGTTTTGGATAATTTTAGTACACTCCACTCCGCAACCAGAACTCCATATCTATGTGAGGATGTTTACTGCCGCTGTGTGAGCCCACAAGCATAAAATGAGCTTTTGCCTACGCATTTTGCCCAACATACGGACTGGCCAAATTTATATTGACGTCAAGTTTGTGCGTGTAAACCGCATGGGAATAACTAAAAAGCAACTATATTCTGATTACAACAAGGATTTTTGATATTCGCTTTTTGGTTTGCATCTACCGTCTATCCTACGTACGTATGCATTTTTTCGGCGTATAGCCGATTTTCCCTTCCAAGAGTACTACCTACTGGCAGGTGATGTCTTCCTGATTATCAGTAAAGCAAGCACTGCCGAAGTGCTTGATTGCTTTCTGATAAATTGAAATTAGAGGGAACAAAAAAAGCCTGTAATTTTTGCTTTCAGAATGATTCTTATCTATGTACAGCGCTTCCAGTGGATTCAACTACAGATCACTATATTGGTTAGTTATCCAGCAGCTTTTCTGGTTTTTTTTTTTTTAATGATTCTGGAAAATCTCAGAAAATCGTGCTATTCACCAAATATAATGCGAAAGTTTATTTAAGCTGTTGCCAATTTTTGTTTTAATCTTACCACAAAGCATCTTATTGACTTACATTTGGGACATTCGGAGAATTACTCTGTCAATTAAAACTAATCTTAGTTCTAACTCGTAGATTAATTCTCTAACTGTGTGGATGGCGACTTTTCCAGGCTGTCTAACTAATGCTAATGATCAGCCTGCTAGCAAAGCTGATGTTCGTTTCGTCTTTTGAAGGGAAAGTTAGCTCAAGGGTTCTTCAAACAGACGCATTTGGCAAGACACTCTCCATATTAAAATGTCATTAGTATTCAGCATCATCACTCGTCCTCATTTTTTAAATCAAACTCTAACACTTTAACTACTTTCTTGATTTTTACGGACAGTTAGCAAAAATCTTTAGTGATTTTTAGTTAAAATATATGTAAAAATACATGGAATAGACGGTGGTTACCAACTGGATACAAAAAGTCCAAAATCGATGAGCCTTGCTTAGCTACATTTGGCGTGTGCGAACATTCAAGTAACATCACTAACAAAGAACACCTACCTATACTGACTATCCGCCTGGTCTTGGTATTCTCGGTATATGCGGAAAAGAAAGAATTTACAAAGTTACTGGCTGTTAAGTGTATTGCTGTGACCGGTACAGCCTTCCTCATGTTTTAGCATTTTTTACTGAATTCTTTCAAACAATTTCAAGCATAAAGGAGAAATCTGAGGTACTAATGTAAGGTTTGCATTTAGTCGGATTTAAACCGTTTGCTACCATGCAAAAAGCTCATCATATGCTGTTGTTTGGATGTGCAGAGCCAGGAAGCAGTGAAGAGATTTGGTAAGCATTTTCCCTTTTCTCAGGTAATTTTAACTAGAGTTAGAATTCATTTTGCCGGAGTTACTGAAGTAAAAGAGCTTTCAGTGCTAATAACATTCATCGAGTAGTTTCTGTTGAGTAACAAAGAACCATTAGCCGAAGGATTATTAGTTACACAGATCCTATTTCTCAAGCTTTTCGTCTCGAATCGTTAACTATAAGTTAGAATTTACTGCACTTTATTCCAATTTATGCTGATGATATACGTTCAATAGTAAGTGATACCCACGAAAAAGTGAACTATGAATCTAACAGCCCTAAAAAGGTGACGTACATACATCGAACAGGTGGTGAGTACTAGCTGGAGGCGTACAGCTCAGGATCGAACAGCTTGGCGTGTAGCAGCATCCAGTAACATCACTAACATCAGACATTCACATGGATTGTTCGGCAAACTTTGCTTTTCTCATCCTTT